GTGTGGAGTTCTACTCCACCTTCTCCCACATCGTCCCGACAAGCAAGAAGAGCCGACCTCGGGTGGAGTTCATGCTGGGCGGTCAGCCGCGAGTGCTGACCTATGATGGCTTCGATCAGGCCATGGGGCTCGACACCGCTCACATGACGATGGCGGAGCGGCAGTACACGGTCGAATTCGACTATCAGGGCGCATTCAGAGTCCTCTGCCGCCCAGAGCACGAGCAGAGCGAGTTCGACGGGAGCAAGACCAAGGTTATCAAGATGAAGACTTAGTAGAGGATTCTTCGTACTCTGCTCACCAGATCTGTCGTCCCTAGCCTCCAGTCAGGCCACTTGATGACGAATAGAGGGCTCATTTCCCTCCACTCGATGAGGAGTCCAGCTGAGCTGATCCATCTGGGATGGTTGATTGCCACCTCTTTCACCCGGTGTCTGGGGCGGAAAAGAGTGGACACGATGCATATGGGGGGCATCATCACGAGGACAACCCGTCTCTTCCAGGTGGATCTGGCCCACTGCACCAGCGTAGGAAGGATGGAGCCCTTCTCAGTGGAGACATTGTACAACCAAAAGCTGGTACTCCAGGGCGAGAGAGGGGTGAAGTACTTCGATGGACTCCGATCCTTCGGAGTCATCCGAGCTGCAGTAGCACCAGCTCCAGTGGAGCCCGACCCCGAGGTCCCACCAGCAGCAGAGCAGCCGCCTGCTCGTGCACCCCGCCGCCGTCGGCGTCCAGCGCTCTCGCGCCCTGCATAGCAACCACCACCACCAGGAGCAGGCGATCCCCTCATCAAGAGAGTGGATCTCCTTGAGACGGGCTTCTTGGGATTCTCATCCCGCCTCGAGCAACAGTCTGACATCCTCGAGCGCATGGCTCGACATCAGAGTATCCTACCCGATGATGGAGAGGATCCATCCACCAGAGAGAGGTAGACGACGAGAGAGACATGTGGCAGAGCGGAGTCCATTCGCCCCACTTCTCTACTTGTAACCCTAAACTTGTTTTATTTTTGTTTTTGTTATTGTGTGTGTGACGTGAACTACTACTACTATGTATTGTGCTTGTAATAACCTCGCCTCGAGCTAGTCGTATTGGTCTTGTGTGTGTTTTTTGTTGTCTCTCCTTGAATTTTCTATTATCCTACCCCGGTTCGATTCCTACATTCACTCACCAATCCCAAGCGGTAACATCACTCTACCCCTTTCTTATGCCATTAAGGGCAATGCCGAGTTTAAGTGGGGGGGGGGGTAGTCTACTAGTGTGCTTGTGTGAGTGAGATGTTTCTTGGAGCCTTTTGTATGCCCATATTTCAAAAATTTGAGGGCTCCAAGCAACGTTTGCATGTTCAAAGTGACCGGATGGTGGGAAATTCTCGTGTTTGTGGCATTAATCTTGAACTGTGCATGTGATTGAGTATATCCTTAGGTAACCAGTTCGCGGAGCGGGAGCGAGAGCGAGAGTGGGAGCGAGAGCGCAAGAGCGTTTATTTTTCAAGAACGCAATATTGAGAGCGTGCACAGAGCGTTAATAATTATATTATTTTTTGTAAATATATAATTAATAATTATATATTTTAATGAATAATGTTCATTCCAAGACTTAAAATAGAGTGAATATCTATTTTTTACATTACACTAGGTTATTCCGTTAAAAAATTCTATTAATAATGTATAAGAAAAAGATATATTTCTACACACAAAAAAATCTTATTAAAGAAACGTGGAAGAAAATTAGCATAGTCTAATTAATTGGATTACTTTTAAAAAGGCGTTTCAATTTCAGGGCTTGGGAATTTGGAGTGGGACTCCAATTAATTGAGATAATTGCATCCTCCTTTTCTCCAAACAACCACCTCGTCCTCTGTTTGTCTCTCTTGCGTTCTTTTCTTCTTCTTTTCCTTCAATTTCTGAGTGACAAAATCGAAAGTTCAAGGAGAAGGAGAGGCATAAATAGATGCAATGCAACTACTCTATCCCGCGGCAATTACTTAATCCCTCAGATCCGTCAAGAAAAATATCAGAAACGGCATTGACGGTCATCGGCAACGAGACTTCTCCTTTCTTAGGCTTCCTCGGAGCCTCATCTTCTCTTATAATCCTCTGGACCTTTTGATTCCCGATTTCGATTAGATATATGAGGATGAGTCTTGGATTTGCTGTTACTGTGTAATTTGTTGTTTGCATGCGTGGATCTGCCTATGGAACGGCGAAGAGCGGGGACAGAGTTGCGTCGAGGGGTGATGCAGCCAGAGTGATTGTGAAATCCATTGTTTCTGGTGGTTAACTCTCACAAGATCAGTGCTAGTATTCTCGGTTCCATGCAAAATCACGCTCCCTGAATTTCAAATCTCGCTCTTGCAGAAAGTAGTTCGTGAATTTCCGGCGAACTCCACGAAAATCGCGTTTTGACGTTCTGGAGCGGGAACGTCGACGGTGTAGTGGCGAATTAGGTAACCTAAGTATATCCTATGATGATGACTGAGAAGTTTATTAGGATAGGGCAAGAGTTTGGTTTTAAAAGTGTGCATAAATGAATGAAGGTCTTGACTTGATCACTTATTGTTTACAATTGCCATGCAACGTGTTTGTGAATTGGAATAGATGGTTGGGTAACTACGTAGCCTGTGAGCTTTGAGCCGTTCGTTTCTTTCGGTGTGATAGTTCCCTCTTACCACAGTGTGTAGCATCACAAGTTCTCACTAGCAAGTATTGTAACACCCTACCCTGTACGTATTCCCTAATCATATTGTTCATACAATTGCAGCGGAAATAATCTCGGGTGTTACATTAATTATCAAAATTTACCCAAATAAAATTTCGACATGAATTACTCCCGTAATGGGCTAACAGTTCTTCCATCTGATCCTGCAAAATAATTCATCCAAATCCATGCGTTCATAGACAAACATATACACTCACTGCCATATGCATTGGCTTTTCATAGCCATTGTCACAGTTTCATGTTACACAACTGCATACTATACTGATACATGCCATAATCGTCACAACTTACATAATTACACAAATATACACATATCATCAACTTTCCACACCTGTGGATATCTCACACTACATCAGAAGCTAGTATGCACATGAAAAACGTTCTCAAAACATTTTACAAAAAGGTGTGGATCACTGGCCAAAATCCCGAGTAGTAGTCCAAGCACAGAATAGTTGAAGACCATACCTCATCTTGCCTTCAACTCTTGCTCAGCTCCCACCTATACACCTATCTACTGCTGCTGCTGATGATCTACTTACACATAGCATAAGCAGAGAAAAAGAATAAAAGAGGGTCAGCTCATAGCTGAGTGAGATAATCATAGCATCGTGAGTTCATAACAGAGCATACCCTTACCATACATCTAGCAAACAAGCCAAAACACTAGGATCGGACCTCAGCCATCCTCATGTCCCAATGGGCAAAAGACTCAACCACCTTGACTTATGCATGTGTGTCTTGTCATGTTTTACTTATAGGCGCCTGGCTACTCCCATGCTAATAACTCTCCCGGGAAACATACCCCACATCCCGTCGGATGTAGTCATACATACCCCAACATCCCGTCGGATGTGGTCATACATACCCCACACCACTATGGGTGTAGTCATACCCCGATACCGCTCTGGGTGTGGTCATATCTCATGATGAATCAACGGTCAACACCACATCAGGGGTGTGACATAACATATCATAACGGAGTAATAGCATGGAGAGCCCTAATTACTATGTAATGGACCATGAGACCAAATCACTCTTATTTGGTAATCTTATACAAGATCCATATCTCATCTTGCTTAATCATAATTCATTACTTGCACATGAACTTGACCTGGCCATAATTGGCTCAACATAGGTAAATCAGGAGTCGTATAATTGCACTTCCTCGGGATAAACCCTCGTGCAAGTCATCCTCCTTAAACATCATAATATCACCAGGGAATATATATTTTCCCACTTGTGCATCCAAATACAACAATCATGAAAAATCGTACCTAATCACCTTCTCGAACCATCGTAAAGCATATTAACAGTCAAGCCCACAATTTGCAACATATACACAATCATCAGCATAAACAAGGTTCATATCGATTAGGGCAAGTCAATAATATCATACAGCAATCCAGGGTTCAACATATAGCACAAAAGTTCATACACCCCTAATCATGCCATTCTAGTTCACCTAGGTCAATTGTAAGCATCAATATAATTATCGTGATACGACAAACCCGGTATGCCGTGCTAATCCCTCACCAGTTCTGGTCGTTCAAACACCGGTTCTAGCCTCCCGTACTAAAACGTCAATTTCAGGAACGAACCCCGAATTAAAATCCGAGCCCGTCCTAATATCCCCTGCAGTATCCCCGTCAATATTAGTTCTAGGCTCCGGGTCAAAATTTCGATAAAAACACATCAAACCCTGGCCGGAGCTAAATTCAGCGATCCCGGCTCCGACCTAAATAATAGCCGAAATTTAGGGATTAGAACTAGAGGATTGATTACCTCGCAGCAAGAAGCTCGTATATGAAATTTGGGCTCAATCCGACTTCCATATACTCTGAAACCCTAATTTGGCTTATCGGGAATTCGAGAAATTCCTAAACCAAAAACTCGTTTTAAAGCTCTAAATCGATAAATCACGATGAATGGATGAATTAGGCGTTACTTACGAGATTTTTGGATCGCTAAAGCTTAAGATTTTGAGCTCTGAAATTTTCCACTTCGCCTCCCCTGAGCGCCCTTTGCTCGTTCTGTTTCTCGGTACAGAATGGAAAAAGGAAGAAGATGGAAATGTATCGACCGAATTAAATGGACATATATATATATATATATTATATATATTATATATAATATATATATAATTAATACGTATACTTATCCGATCGATCGATAATCCGATTTTCGTCGAAATACTGTCAAAATGCTCGATTTTAAATCGTGAAATTTTCTAGCGATCGAAATATGGGTTTTTCCGTAACGGGATGTTAGTTACATTAGCACCAGTAAAATGCCAGTCTGAAGTTAAACTACCAGGTGATTGATAGGTCATAGAGTTATCGTCATTCCCTTTCTCCTGCTCAAGCTTATCCTTCTCACTAATGTCAATCTCCATGACAAGAACAAGAAAAAAAATCCCACAGTAGATGACAGATAACTCCCCTGGTCTGAACTACCAGCAACCTCTCAAAGGGAATTCTGGTCAAACGGGAAGATGGTCTCAGAAAGTTAATCAAACCCAAAAACCTTCCAACTTCCTAATAGATAAAGCCATACTTCAATAGGGAAAAGAATCAAAGATGCAGAGACAGAAAAGTGAAGAAGAATCAACTTCTCAGTTAACTCAGCCGAAGTAGAACAACTTCTCTCGGAGGTGAGTTTTAAGGCAACTTTGCATCAAAGCGATCAATTGAAAGACAATTCAGCCAAAACTTACAGTACAAGAAACTTCAAATTCACCGAAGGAAGTGAGGACATTCCTCGCAGGATCACAAACCGCTTTAACTTGGCAAGAGCTTCTCACGGTGGCAGAAGTGAGAACACAATTCAACAAATTGGCTTTCAGGAATCACAGCATATAATGAACACAATCACTTCTCTCTTTCCTCTAAACCAAAAAGGCTTAACGAAGATGAAGAGAAGTAAGAATCTGGTTGGGGAAAGTTACCAATTCCAAAGCAACCCACCGCTGGACTTGCAGTTTTAGTACTAAGAATTGAACCAGAAGGAAACAACTCCCAAGACGAAAGATACGCCGAGAAAAAGAAAGCTCAGGGAGAGAACCAAGGAAAAAGCTGAAAAAGGAGGGCCTCGAAGGAAGAATCAGTCAAACAAGCAAACAAAAGAACATTGATTTCAGGACAATAAATATGCCCATTCAAAACCCTAGTCAGAGGAGCTGAGATGTCATCACAGAGGAGAACCAGAAGGAAGGAGAGAGACACACACACAATGCAACACCTAGCTTAAAGTAGCTAAGAGAAAGATAGTAAGATACCCATTTCAGATTCTGTTGCTACTTTCGGTCCTCTCCTCTGCGCTTCATTCAACCCCTCCTCTGTTAGTGCTGTGCTCAAACACCCTCCATTCGCTTTACTACTTTCCTCCTTCCCCACGCTGCCACCAGCTTCACTGTGCAAGAACCAGACCCAAAACTCCAACCGATCAAGAAAACTGAAACTGGGCAGGTTTGAGTTTCGGACAGCGAGGGATAGAAATGGAAGACTGAAGAAGGAATTTTGTGAGGGAAATGTACAGAATTGAAAAGAGAGCGAAAGAGCAAATGAAAAACAAAGACAGGAAGCCTCAAATTAACAAAGTTGCTGTATTTATACCCACGCTTGCATAAAAAAGAGAGCTTTTGATGATTAACCACCGCCACTGCCACTGCCGCTGCTTAATTTATTGAGTTAATTAATTAAAACTTAGATTAGTTATTACTTATTAATATAACCACCATCAGGCTCAAGCATCAGCTGTCCCGCTCTTCCAGCTGAAGATATGGTAGTTACTGACTTATTAGTAACTAAATCTGACCTTTAAATTTAAGTGTGTTCAGAAAATTTAGATTTAAGGATTGTAAATTAAAAATATTTTTTTTTTTTATGAAGGTGAGAATTGCATTAATAATAAAAGGGAAGTCTGAAGAAAACAAAGGGCACCAGAGGTGCCAACCAAAAGCACAAAACAGAAAGGGCAGAGAAAGAAACTAAAGAAACGAGAACAAAGGCGCAAAGAGAATCGACAGCCCAGGAACTGAGCCGGCCAGACGACTCCTGCTCTTATTTTATTCGTTCTAACTCAGATTTTTTTTCCACAGATGAAACGAGATCGTTGTGCTCTACAAAATGATATCAATTTTCAATAATTTTTTAGAATTTTTTTCTTCATACCTCTCATTACCAACTCTATACCATTTGGTAACTTCTTTGTTTTTAAGTCCTTTTTGAAAATATTTGCTCAGAAGAAACGAGTTCATCATTATCTATTTGATCTACATATTTCATGGTGACAAAAATACAGGACCAAACTTAACATACTTTACCACTCTGGTATGGGGGTGGTAACTTGTGGTAAACAATGATGAAAGTCGTAAATGACAGTTAGTATACTCCTACTATCATGTATTCAACTTTCCTACACTCTTGGTATGTTCATACCATCATGGTATGCTTTCTTATCATATCGTATGCTCCTATTTAATATCATATATGGTATTGACTAGTAAAAAATGCCTCAATTTTTTTTTTTGTTCTAAGAATATATCAAAGTGAATATCATTTTAAAGATAACAGTTAATATGATTTATCTATGCAAAAAATTTTAAATTTCAAAAGAAATCGTCCATTAAAAATTAAAGAAGAAAAGATAGAAGACTTTTCATGAGAAAGATGTTGATGTCATACTGATGTGCACAAATTACTCATGGTTATGGACTCTTACTCTAATGTTATTGTCTTGCTCCGTACTCTTTCCTTAACTTTCTTGCTTGTCCACTTTAGCAATTCTAAAAAATACATTTCTTTTCCAAAACCCTTTCTTTTTTTGGTTAAATTCCAAAACCCTTTCTAGTACTTTGTTTATGTATTTATTTGTACTCGTTAAATATCAAACATATTATTTTCTTTTTCTTAATCAGACTTTTTTAATCACCTTAGCCAACTTTGAAGAACAATAATAAATGCAAAAGCTAAGCGTTAGCTAGCAACTGACACTGCCAACTCGGGGGTAAGGATTTTCTTGTACATTTCTCGGTGGGGATTATTATTTTTATCGTTTGTCCTTTCCATTCATTTAAAATAGTACCAAAACAAATGTTTTAATTATCTGGGAACAAGAGCTTAAGATTATTGATGTGACTCTTTGGTCAAAGAGACCCAAATCTAGCCAGCTCCAAGTTAGCTGGGTCCATTTCCATCTTTTTTTTTCTTTTTAATAAGGAATGGATTATGGAATAAGGTACTGTTACCCATAAAAATAAATTTGTACCACTTTGATTAATTATCATAGATTTAATAAATTTATAAGATCAGCTCAACATTAGTAATTAAATGAGCTAGTCAGGTCTTATTGGGTTATATTTTTTGGTCTAAGTGGCCAAACTCCCTATCTTTAACCTAGTAGTTGGACGTCCCCATAGCCCGTACGATGCCTCCCACCATTGGTATGAAATATGACTCTTAAAAAACTAGGTGAAATTCATCTGTGTAGCAAAAAATTTCACGTTTGTGACAATAATAGCCACTTTTGGCGAAATTCCAAAAATAGCCAGAATTTTGAAAGTTTCATCATAAATATAGGTATTTTCGTTACATATTTTAACGGCGTCAGTGACACCGTCAGTCAAATTAACAGAACGCTTACCTGGCTGCCAACTTACCGGACACATCATCGACAACTCACCAACACTTGCCACATGGATGCCATGTCATATTCTAATTTAAAAATAAATAAAAATTCATAAATGAAAAATTATAAAAATACAAATAATCAATTCATCTATTCTTCCCTTTATCTCCATCTCCTCGTCCAACGAACTGCTCGCTATTTTCAACCTTTGTCCTTGTATTCCAATCAACATAGATGGGGAATAACAAATTGGGAAAGCCAAAGGATTCTCATTCTTCAACCTTCGTCCACCGCACAAATTGGGAAAGCCTACCGTCACAGAAATTTATTCCAATCAACACAGATGGGGAATAACAAATTGGGAAAGCCAAAGGATTCTCATTCTTCAACCTTCGTCCACCGCACAAATTGGGAAAGCCTACCGTCACAGAAATTGGCCACCGTCGCTAGTCGCCCACCGCACAAATTAGGAAGGCCAAAATCTCACTATTCGCTTCCCCATCGTCGCCCCTTCGTCCACATCTGCCAGTGAAACCGAGATCCTTGCCATGGATCCAACGAAGAAGCTAGAAATCATGCGAGAACACCATTATGTTTGTCATTGAAACCGAGATCACCACCAGCGCGGCGGCAGATCTAACCACTCAGTCGCTAAAGGGAGAATCCTTGAAAGTCTTAAAATGTGCGGCCTGCGAGTCCCACCACAACTTCCACCGCAAGAAAATCGATGGCGAGACTGCCGTCGTCGCCAGCCCTACAGTGTTCAGCCCCATTAGGTCTCGGCGCGGCGGAGGTGGGCATTTGGTCCAGAAGTAATTCTCTCCAACCCAGAAAGACCCATTGGGCAAATTTTTCATCTTCTGCTCCCTCCGCCTCATCTTTTTACCCTGATGGTCGACATGTCCGATCTCATCCAGAATCTCTTCCGGATAACGACGCTGGTAGAGCCGGCTCCACACGAGGAGCTTTTGATCAGAATCTCGGGCGCCATAGCCCAATTGATCGACAAAGATGAGGCTTAGGGTTCCTTCCGAGAGTGAAGACTTCAACGACGAAGAGGAGGAATCGAAGGAAGAGGGAACCAGTTTGAAGAGAAGGAGTCGAAGGAAGAGGGAATCGGTTCACGAGATGGAGTTTTTTTTACGGTGAATGAGGGATTCTCGATTAATTGTACAAGGATAATGGGGAGAAGATGGGATCGGGGAAGATGAGGGAGAGAGGGAGACTTTTCATTTTCATTTCATTTTTTATATTTTAAAGTTAAATCCATGTGGCATTTTTATTTATGAAATGTTGCCATGTCAGCCTTTTCGTTAGTCCAGTCAGCACGTTAACTAACACCGTCGAACAATTGGACGGAAGTGACTATTTTTTATATTTTGTCAAACATGGCTATATTTGGCCAAACCGACAAAGTTTTGGCTACACATGTGTATTTTCCAAAAAACTAAGTCTGAAAACAACAAAGACTTGGTACCCAAGCAAGAGGGTTCCAAGCCGGCAAGGCAGGCCTGGTGCCCAAACGTGAAATTTGGCTAAGTATGGAGCCAAGAGGGTACTAAAGCAACAAGGGCGATCCTAATACCAAGACATGAAATTTTTGAAAGTATAGAGCGAAGAGGGTACCAAGCACGCAAGCTAGGCTTAGTACCAAGATGAAAAATTTGGCTAAGTATGGAGACACCAAGGGGGTACCAAGCCGTCAAGACAGGATTGGTAGCAATGAGACAGGGTACTAAGGCATCAAGACAGGCCTGGTACAACGATATGAAAATTGGTTAAGTATGGAGCTAACAGGGTACCAAGCCAGCAAGGCAGGCTTGATACTAAGATATGAAATTTGGCTAAGTCTGGAAATAAAATAGGCTTGGTAGCTAGATAACAGGGTATCAAGCCGGATACCAACTATAGAGTCGTATACAAACTAAGTATAGATACCAAGTCATCAAGGCATGCTTGGTAGCCAAACAAGAGGTTACCAAGTCAACAAGGCAGGCTTGGTAGCCAAGCAAGAGGGTACCAAGCTGGCAAGACTTGGTAGCCAGACAACAATGTACCAAGCCGGCAAGACATGCTTGATATCAAGTTATCAAACCTCCCAAAAGTTAAATATAGAGATCAAACAGGTAGGGTGCCAACTCGATTAGGAGGTGACAAGGTGGCTAGCTGAGGTGGCCACCAGGTTGGGTACTAAGCCGCCATGAACCATCCATATAGTTTTAAGACTAAGTATGGAATATTAGGGGTGGGGGCTAGCCGGTCAGGATGCCAAGCTAAAAGGATGTAAATTTGATGAGAACTTGGTGTAGAGCCCCTTGGGGGCCATATGGAGACTAAGTCTCAAGATGGGCTTGGTGGCCCCGGGGTACCAAGTTGGTCGGGCGGCAAGGTACCAACTTGATGAGATTCTAAAAGCTAAATATGGAGACCGAATCAGCAAGGCTGGCTTGGTAGTAGGGTCTGACATGATTGGCTTGGTAGTAGGGGTTATGAAGTCGGCGAGACAACACAATCAGGAGCAAGACAATAGCAACAAAACTAAGTGTGGAGTCTTGGAGGTTACCAAAGATGTTGTCGAGACTTCATCATGGAGGCAAGGCAAAGAGCTTCAACCACGTCCAGTCAAGGCAAGGCGACAAGACCAACACCAACCCGGTGGTTGGAGAAGATGACTCGTTGGTGGTTACCAAGATGGCGACAAGGGATGGTTAACAAGATGGCGACACAGGGTCCCTAAAGCGGCTGGAGCAACAAGCTAACTAGTAGTTACCAAGGCGGTTACCAAGTTAGTTACACCTAACGACTATAAATAGGAGAAACAAAGACGGAACAGGGGTCGACAATCAAACATTTGATGCACAATGTCACACTTTATCCTTTCTCTTCAATGTAGCCATAGTCATAGCTTTTAGTTTCC